GGAACAGAACAGAGACCTTGGAGGCATCGCCACACATCTACAACCATCTGATTTTTGACAAACCTGACAAAAACAAGCAATGGAGAAAGGATTTTCTGTTTAATAAATGGTGTTGGGAAAACTGGCTAGCCATGTGCAGAAAGCAGAAGCTGGACCCCTTCCTGACACCTTACACTAAAATTAACTCTAGATGGATTAAAGACTGAAACATAAGACCTAACACCATAACAATCCTAAAAGAAAACCTAGGCAAAACCATTTAGGACATAGGCACAGGCAAGGAGTTCACAACTAAAACACCAAAAGCACTGGCAACAAAAGCCAAAATAGACAAATGGGACCTAACTAAACTCCAGAGCTTCCGCAAAGCAAAAGAAACAATCATTAAAGTGAACTGGCAACCAACAGAATAGGAAAAAAAATGTTGCAATCTACCCATCTAACAAAGGGCTAATATCCAGAAGCTACAAAGAACTAAAACAGATTCACAAGAAAAAAACAAACAAACAAACAAACAAAAAACCCATTCAAAAGTCAGAGAACAATATGAAGACACTTTTCAAAAGAGGACATATATGAGGCCAACAAACATATGAAAAAATGCTCATTATCACTGTTCATTAGAGAAATGCAAATCAAAACTACATTGAGATATCATTTCATGCCAGTTAGAATGGTGATCATTAAGAAATCTGGAGACAACAGATGCTGGAGAGGATGTGGAGAAATAGGAACACTTTTACACTGTTAGTGGGAGTGTAAATTAGTTCAACCATTGTGGAAGACAGTGTGATGATTCCTCAAGGACCTAGAAATAGAAATTCCTTTTGACCCAGTAATCCCATTACTGGGTATATATTCAAAGGATTATAAATCAGAAATTCTATTATGAAGACACATGCACACAAATGCTCACTGTGGCACTGTTTACAACAGCAAAGACCTGGAACCAACCCAAATGCCCATTGATGATAAACTGGACAAGGAAAATGTGGCACATATACACCATGGAATACTATGCAGCCATAAAAAAATGAGTTTGTGTCCTTTGTAGGGATATGGATAAATCTGGAAACCATTGTTCTCAACAAACTGACACAAGAACAGAAAATCAAACACTGCATGTTCTCATTCATAGGTGGGTGTTGAACAGTGATAACACATGGACACAGGGAGGGGAGCATCACACACTGGTGTCTGTTGTGGGGGACTAGGAGTGGGACAGTGGGGTTACGGAATTGGGGAGGGATAATATAGGGAGAAATATCAGATATAGGTGACGGGGATGGAGGCAACAAACTACATTGTCATGTATGTACCTATGCAACAAGCCTGCATGTTCTACACATGTACCCCAGAACCTAAAGTGCAATAAAATATATATTTTTTTAAAAAAGGAATTAATAATTAAGACCCCAAAAGCAGGTAAAACCATAAATAAACAAACAAATGGGACCTGATTAAATTAAAAAGCTTCTGCACAGTAAAAGAAATAATCATCAGAGTAAACAGACAACACAGAGTTGGAGAAAATATTTGCACACGATGCATCTGACAAAGGACTAATATACAGAATCTACAAGAAACTCAAACAAATCAGCAAGAAAACAAATAATCCCATTAAAAAGCGAGCAAAGGACATGAACAGACATTTCTCATAGGAGATATACAATTGGCCAATAAACAAATGAAAACATGCTCAACATTACTAATCATCAGGAAAACGCAAATTAAAACCGCAATGAGATACCACTGTATCCGAACCAGAAAGACCATTATTATAAAGTCAAAAAACAACAGTTATTGGCATAGATGTGGTTAAAAAAAAAGAAAGAAAGAAATGCTTATACACTGTTGATAAGAATTAAGTTAGTATAACCTCTACAGAAAATAGTATGGAGATTAATCAAAGAACTAAAAATAGATCTACCATTTGATCCAGTAATCCCACTACTGGGTATTTACCCAAAGAAAAAGTCACTAGATAAAAAAGACAACTGCACACATATGCTATCTCAGCACAATTCACAAATGCAAAAATACTTTGCTCAACTGATGAGTGAGCAAGGAAAATGTGGTATGTATAGGCCATGGATTGCTACTCAGACACAAAAAAATAATGAAATAATGTCTTTTCTGGCAATTTGGATGGAACTGGAGGCATTATTCTAAATGAAATCACTCAGGAATCAAAAACCAAATACTGCATGTTCTCACTTATAAATGGGAGCTAAGCTATAGCTATGCAAATTTTATATATGACATTGCAGATTCTAAGAAAAAGAGAGGAATTATTCAATGTATATTCAATGTATATGGTTTAGGGAGTTGGTTATTCAAATAAAAAGGATTATGAATGCAACTTCGCAATGATTTCAAAGCAGTTATTTATTTTGAGGGTTAGAAGAATGGGGATTTTTGTTTTTGTATATTTTTTTAAAAATCAGGTACAACTAATTTTTAAGAGGGATTCAATTTAGTGAGTTGAGAGAGGGAAGGAAAGATGTTAAAAAGTAATGTTTAGATGGAAACAAAGGTATGAATGTAGTTACACAGTTCAAGTTTAACAAGGAAAATTTTTGGCTTTTTTAACTTATGTGTTCTATGGTTAACAGGTTATTCCAGCTTTTCCAAATACTAATTATGTTGGTTTTAAGAAGTCTCCATAATCCAAAGGTGGTTTTCCCCTTGTCTGTGTGAGTAGACGATGCAACCCACACAGTGATTTCAAACTTCTTTGATAGAATTTCCACCACTGCTTTGTTGAACTTCTCATTGTAGTGTATGTCTTACCAAGTATGAAATCATAAGTTTATAAAAATTGCAAGACTATACATCATTTTGCATGAATAATACCCATTAGAGCTAAGGAGACTGACATGTTTTATAGCATTTCTGGGTAAATAAAAATTGTAAAGGCATTCACCATTTACCAGCTTTGTACAACATTATACAGGTAGACGCAAAACAGCAGCACATTGTGCTTGGCCTATAGGATTGCTTTAACACCACTACATTAAATAGACAGTGTGCATAGTGTAAATGCCAACTCTTGCAAATTTACTATACTTAAATGTATGTAACATTCTAATGTATTAAAGGTATAAAGAAAAAACTAAACAAGCACTTATAGCAATACTATGAAATTTCCAATAATTGTTTTGACTGTTGCCTTTGACTCTTTAGTGCAATTTTTCTACATTGTAATTATTACATTGTACTGCTTTGTATTTCCCATTTGTTGTACGTAACTTCAGAGTTAAGTACTAGTACACCAAGTACTGTAATCACCTCTCACTTATTGTACACGCAATGTAACAACATACAGTTTTGGTGCTTAACAATATTCCTTTTTTCCTTAATAAAGGATATTTATTTGAATTTTTAAAAAGGAACTAATAAAACTAGATCTCTATCTGATACAATATCAAAAAAGTACCCCAAAGGATTAGAGATTTAAATGTTAAAGGAAAAATTTTAAGAGATTTACAAGAAAAGAGGATAATATGTTTAGACCTTTAGTTATACAACGGTTTCTTAAATAAGAAACAAAAAAGCTGGCTGGGAGCGGTGGCTCACGCCTATAATCCCAGTACTTTGGGAGGCCGAGGTGGGTGGATCACGAGGTCAAGAGATGGAGACCATCCTGGTCAACATGGTGAAACCCTATCTCGACTAAAAATACAAAAATTAGCTGGGCGTGTTGGTGCACGCCTGTAGTCCCAGCTACTCAGGAGTCTGAGGCAGGAGAATTGCTTGAACCCAGGAGGCAGAGGTTGCAGTGAGCCAAGATCGCACCATTGCACTCCAGCCTGGGTAACAAGAGTGAAACTCAGTCTCAAAAAAAAAAAAAAGAAAGAAAGAAAAGAAAATAGAAAATAAAAGAAACAAAAAAGCTAACTCTAAAAGAGTAGGTTTATGAATTCAGCAACATTATATATTTTCACACATATAAGAATAAAAACAAAGCAACCAACTGGTAAAATACATTCATAATATCACAAAGGGTTTGGTGTCAAGATGTTATAAAGAATACCTGAAAAGCAGTAAAAAAGCAACAAATAACACAGAACAAAAAAAAATGAGCAATGTTTATTTCAATTATTTCATTTCTTACAGAAAAAGAAATATAAATATATGAAAAGATGCTTGAATCCATTAGTAATAAGGAAAATAAAAATTCTAATGGTAGCAAAATATATGACATTTAGATGGGGAAAAAATGAGAAATCTGAAGGTACCCAGTACTTATAAAGATATAATCAAAAGGAATGTTTATTGATAAATGTATAAATTGGTATAACTGCTTTAGAAAATAATTTATTATATCATATAAATGTGAATATTAGGTCACTTAGTGGCACAAGCATCTGAACCCTAGGAATATATCCTACCTCTTCCAGTGAAGTTCATGACACATAACAGTGGAATTGGCCCAAATATACCCCAGTGTGATATGGATATATAAACTATAGTTGAAATATTTTAAAACAGTGAAAATGCATAAACTCCAACTATAGAATTCAAAAAGAAGCAAAAGTAATTTTTGTTTAGGAACACAAATATATGTAATGAAACTATTTTTCAAAAGACAGAAGGAATTGGTAAATACGAAATTCACACTATTGGCTACCTCATGGGGAAAAGCAGAGAGATGGAAAACGTGCATAGACCACACAATAGTAGTGACAAAATTCTAACTTAAATCTAGTGGTGAATTCATGGCTATTCATTTTATTATTTCCCTTTAAACTGGCATATAGATGATTATGTATTATTTCTCATGCACAGCATTTGATATTTAGTAATTTGCAAATAAATATTAGTTCTTATTTTGTAAAATTTACAGCAGCATAATGAAATAACAGTGACAAGTGTAATAATTTATTAGAATAATTAATCAAAATTACTAAAATGTAAAATAAATGGAAATTAGCCTAAACATTAAACAATTCAATAAACAATTACATAAGCTAAACTTAATTAACAAAATAACTTACCTAGTATGTTACAGTTCTCTTTAGATGAACAAATGTCTTCCCTTAAAATAAAAAATACATTTGAAGCATTTTTGGAAAATATTTTTGCAACAAGTCAAAATAAAATAAAGAAGCTTTATGACATGACTACGACCACAAACTAACATTTAAAATCTATTTCCTATTAATGTCTCAAAAAGTCTAAACCTAGAGCAATGCCTCATTTGTCCATATCAATAAGCAATATGTACTATATAATGAGTGTTGTAAATAGTTGAATCATTAACCAAGTTCAATGAAACACTAGTATATTTTTTATGTCTCTGCTTTTATTTACACAGTATATATAATATATAGTTTACCCTCATGATTATTCAACATGATCATGAGCTTCAGTTATCATTCTCTTATGCAAAATAATGGAGTTCTCAGATGTTACTAAGTTGCTCAATTTTTTTTCTTTTCTTTTTTTTTTTTTTTTTTGCTTCTGCATTACTTAATCAATGGCTATTCAGGTTGACAGTTCTCATGTCTCTTTTCTAATCACCTCTTTCTCATAGCCCTTTCTTCCTCCAACATTTAATCTGCTAGCTTCAATCTCTGCTGCTTGGCTTCAAACTATAATCCAGAGCAGAACCATAGACAATATATAATATAATACTTTGTATAAAATTTAATCAATTCTGCTTTAGTTTTGAAAACAGATTAAAGTACAGTCATGCACTGCATAACATGATTCAGTCAACAATGGACTGCATATATGACATTGGTCCTATAAGATTAGAGTATCATATTTATACTGTACCTTTTCTATGTTTAGGTATGTTTAGATACACAAACACATACCATCGTGTTACAAATGCCTACAGTATTCCGTACAGTAACATGCTATATAGGCTTGTAGCCTAGGACCAACATGCTATACCATATTGCCTAGGTGTGTAGTAAGTAGGCTACACTATCTAGGTTTGCATAAGTATACTCTATGATATTTGCATAAAGACTAAATCACCTAATGGTGCATTTCTCAGACTGTGTCCCCCTCATTAAGCAACACATGACTGTACATGAACCACATGTTAGCTACTTTACATTAGCTAAAGGTTTTAATTTCAGGATTCTAAAAAGCTGAGATTTCTTTGAGTTTGATTCCCAAGTAAAGAATTTACTTAGTTAGCCAACCAAATATCAAACCTAGGATTTATATATTCTTGTAGTATTACTGTTGCTGAAACAAAGGTGTGAATTAACATTGTATAGTATTTCTTATAAAATGACTAATAATTGTATAATAGCAGAAGCTGTTTTTCATATAAATAAGTAGATTTGAGAACAATTCTAGCAAATGCAGCATGGTAATTAAGGCATGCATTAAGCATCAAAACAAGGAATAGAAAAATAAATTTTTTAAAGCACAGGGAGTCCAAAAAGTGAACAAATGAAAGAACAAAGTTTTTATTTCCACGCAGCTGAAACATCAAGAGGGAATGAACAAAACCTGCTGAGTTCCATAACTATGTTAATTTCTTAATTATCTCATTCTGTCACTAATATCATAAGGAAATTATTTTGTTAGATCAAATCACTACTCAGTAACCTGACATTGCTAATTTTCCAGAGAACTAACTAATATCCTGGTTTGAAAACAGAAGAAGGCTTTTAGTCAATAGTTTCTTTTGTAATACAAGTTCTCATAGAACACTTCTGTGTATTATTAACAAAGAATGAAGATAATAAGAAGTATGAGTCATGTAGGAGGGGAAGAGTAAAAGATTGTATGAGAAAGGTTATTTCTATAATCATACCTAGTGATAAGAACAGCAGTGTCATGGTGGGAAGGGTGAAAATCACCGAAGACATTCTGAGTTTTTTGCCATGAACAAAATTTGCTTAACGTGGCACCACCATCATAAGTAATGACTGGTCCTTCCTATGCAAAATAAGCAATGCAATACTAGGTCAAAATATTAATGTCCTCTTTTCCTTCCAACTTTATCAGCACCTGCACAATTTATCAAACAGTATTCTCACAGGCAAATGAGGGAGTGACAGTATCTCTTCTTCATATATTAACTCTAACAAATTTTAGCAATATTGAAAACATTATGAACCAAACTGATCTAATTAGATCTTCTTAATATAACCATCCAATAGTTAGGAATAAAACACTTTTAAAAACTACTACATTTTAAATCTTCTGATATTACAATTATAAAAATGAATACTAAGGTTTTTAATCTTTTATTCTTGAATTGTTTATTCATTTTTGTTACTTCCCTTGCTCAGTTAAACACTGTTGTCATTCTATTTTATTTCCATCACAACAAGTAAGGGTAATCTCATTCCTTTTCAAATCAATTTTTTAAAGTAAATTTTTAAAATACCTCATTTCTAGTAAGAGTTCCATAATCTCTATGTATTCTCACTAAAAGCTTACTACAGCTAAGGTTACTAATTTTAGACTGGTTTCTTACCTGCTGATGGTGAATAATAACTAATTTAACCACTGCTATGTGTATAAAATTTCCAATACTTGGATCCTTGTAGATTGTTGCAACCTGCATACAAAAAAAATGTAGGATTAGTTGTCTAAAGTGAATATTTCTTCTCAAAAGTAAGTTGAAACCAGTCACAGAGTATCAATTCTCCAATTGCACTGCACATAAGAATCTTGGAATCTCTTAAAACGCTTTTACAAATCCTCATGTTCAGACCATGTCCCTTGCCAATTAAATCAGAATCTGTAGGACTGAAACCCAGGCATCTTAAAGATTCAGAATTTGAGTATCTTAAACCTTGCTGCTGAGACAAATCTATGGATCAGCAGCATCCACATAACCTAGAGCTTATATGAATACACAGAATCTCAGACCCCACCCTAGACTAATGATTCAGAGTTTGCACTTTAACAAGATCTCAAGTGATATGAACACATATTAGAGTTTGGAACTGCTGTTATGCATGATTCAGCAAGGAATTCACTTCATTCTGTGTCATAATCCACAATTTACATGACTACAACCTTCCATAAAATATGTAAGTTTTGCCTATTTTTTTCTGATAGTTCACCTACTCTTTCAGCCACAGTTGCGTATTTCCAGCTCCAAATATGGTTATTTTAAAGTTTAAAATTATCAGAATCCACGGAGACAGATCCATCTAGAATCATATAAACAGCCCTAGAAGAGGTCATGAGTCACTATCTGGTTCTCGATTTTCCAGCACTGGAAAATGCTAGGCACTCTGCATGGGCTCTGCATGGGCTCATTTATGATTCATGATCAAGGTGCCATCCAATTCACTATATTCTCTCTTGTAGCCATTATAGAGGTTGCCACTGCAGTAGGTGTTTCTTCCATGGCCAATTATCTCTGCTTGGTACTTAATCAGAGACATAGCCCACTCTGGACCTGGGCTACCTGTGCAATGAAAACTGCTTCCTAGATCACCTTCTAGCTGGCCACTGCCTAAGTCAAGGCAGCCATTGCTCCAAGGGGTGCTACTTTGCTCATCTGTTTAATATATAAATGTTCAGCATTTACTCCTTGCTTTGTTGGCTAGAGAAGCAGATACAGGTAAGAGGACAAAGGCCCAGACCTTGTGGAGCTTACAGTTTGTTAGAAGTATCACTACCAGAGCCCTCACTCTATTAGCCAAAGCTGCTTCACCACAACATGTAACATGACTGCTCTCAATGTCTCTTGTGCCAAATGGACTACTACCAGAACTAGAGCCAAAAGCATCTTTAGAGCTGCTGATACTGTAGGGTCAGCATGAGCATAAATACATAATCCAGCACCTTTACTACTGTTATAGCTGTGCAGCCTCAAATATTTACAGGTTTGTCACCTGTACCTATAGTGATGACTTTGGCTCTGGTAGTAGCATGTTTTGGCAAGTGTGGAGGTAGCCCAGAGGTTTGACAGTAAGTTAAGACAGGGATAGTCACCTGATTGACAATTTCAAGCAGGTCTGTTAGCAATGTAGTATTTCTCACTTTAAAATAGGAGCTGTGAATTCACAGTTGAATTTATAAATATCCATTTTACATGCAACATTTTAAAATGTATCTACCACAGGAAAAAAAAAAAAGCACACCTGTCATTGTGATTTTAGAGATACCCTTGATCCTGTTAGTTTAAAAGTGGATGCTTTCTAAGTCACATTACAAGGTAAAAGATATACCTCAAAGGTATTTATAAATGTTCTTTTTCTCCCATAAATGAAAAACAGCTGTGAAGACTTCTGTGTCTCAGAAGAATATGTATATCCAGTAGTCCACAGAAAAAAGAACATATGCACTATGAGGTGTCTACATGGCTAATTACTATATTCATTGACCCAAGTATTTTGACTACCAATGACAATTTGAATATTATAATATCGGTTATAAAATATGTAACCACAAAAATATTTCCAGTTTCAGAAGGAAACAGATGCTTCACCTTTATTGAAAAGTGACCAATCTTCAAGCTAGAATTTGGAAAAAAAATCCCAATATTCTGACAATATAATTTGAAATATATTACTATAGCAAAATATCCTTAAATGTAAGACTAGGGAAAAGATAATGCAAACAATTGTTATGTAACAAATCCTATGATATAGGCAGTATTATAGTGTCAGTTTTACAGATAAGAACAGTAAGATACAGAGAAGTTATGTAACACACTGAAGATTAGGCAGCTGGTAGCAAACAGAACCAATTTTTTCATCCTGTACAGTCTGGCTTTAGAGCACTGACTACTATATCTGATCTTATTTCAGCATTCTGCTCTCAAGTCATTCTCAGTTCTTGGCACAAAACATTTCAAAACCTTGCTGCAACTCATCCCCCAGCCACTGGTACTGTCCTGTTATGTTCACTTGCCCATGGCCTCAGAGAAGTCATAGGCAGTCAGCAAACATGGGCTTTACTTCTAGGTCTATTAGTAGCTACAAGCTAATTGTTCAACCCTGGAAAATAGATTTATCTTTTTTTTCAGTCTTAATGTCCTTAATATCCATGTTGAGGCACTGGGTACCCTTGAGTCACAATGTCCTTGCATAGTGGATTAATATTAACCAGATGCTGTTGGGGAAGGGTTGTGAAGGACATTTGTTGTTTGTTGTTGTTGTTGTTGTTGTTTGACTTTGGTTTTAAAGAACAAAATTATTCCACAGTTTGATAAATAAGCTTAAAGAATTAGATATATTCATTGAATCTTGAATAGGCTAACACACACACACATTAAATCTATGAGACAGAGATATTATATACAGCATTTCATGTAACTATATAATCACAGTCCTTAGTCTTGGAGCTTATCAAAGGACTAATATTCCATTCCATAAACTACACTTTAGGAAACACCAGACCAGATTTCTAATGTATATCCTATTCTATAAAGCCATATAATGTTTTCATATATTACTATAATCACTACATTTTAGAGTGCTATGTATTAGAATTTTTATCAAACTACAATGTATTTAATCTTTTATTCTTCAAATGTTAGTTTCCTTCATATAAGTAGTTCCTATTTCTTTATAGGTTTCATAAAATAGTAAATATTATTTCATGGATATCTAATGAAAGGTAAAGAAGAATGGGATGAATCATATTGTTGAAATCTTTAAGAAAATTCTAGGCAAAATATACTTCATACAAGGCATGAAACAAATTGCTAGCACCATTAACTTACCAATCATTTTGAAAATAATTTCTAGATGGAACTTTAGCAAATGTTCACATATGGTATGTTCATAGGCCACCTTCATTAAGAAGTAAAGTCATCTATAAAAACTGATTTTGACAAAGAAATTTTGTATACAAAGATCATTACTCTTCTTCAGAAAGATCTTTGCATTTTTAAATTGAAAATTATGAAATTCCACATATATACAAAGTGAACATGTGCAAATAATTAAGAATATGAAAAGTGAAGAAAGAGAAAACTAATATAAGTGGTTATACCCAAAGTATGAAAGCATATCATTAGTTTTTATTTTAAAGTAGTTAAAAATCTTTCCCATCCTAATAACATCAGTAAAAGCAACCAACAGAATTGAAAATAATGGTATAAAGTCAATGTAATGTAAGTGAGGGTTTTTAGTTGATATATGCCTCTAATAATAGTAATCATGTTTTAATAAAAGGGTTAATTCTTGAGGATTATGTGATGTTCCTTAAATTTACATTATTAAATCTACAACAGGGTGAATATTATAAAGTTAAACCTTTATAAACACAATGAAATGTGGAAGTCTTTAATACCTAGTAAATATTTAAGATTTATTAATAAATTGAATACCAAAATAAATATACTGAAGATATCCTCTAGTTTGCATACATTTTAGTAGCTTAATAATGCATATATAAATGCCATTTTAACCTGATGTTGTCACCCAAATTCCCTAAGGATAAAGGTTTTAGAATAGTAGCTGAGTATCTCTGCTCATTTAACACAAACAGTATTTCAGTACATTGTACATCACAATTGTGTTCTCCCTCACTAATTTTAATGTTAATTCCAGAAACCCTTTGAGTTAGAAGGATCTCTAGGCTATTCTGATAATGTTAAGTGCAACTAAAAAATGAATTACACCACATTCTTTATTTCTATATCACTACACTGCATTTCATTAAATTATTGAAAGCAAAGAAAAAGTTTAAGAAGAGAGTACAATCATTTACTTTGTGCAGGATGAGTAAGGATAGTTAGTTGCATATATAATCCATTTGCTCAATGCTGAAAGCATTCACTTATTTACCCCATTATATCTAGAGCTCAACACACAAAAATTCTTTTTCATCACTTTCAACTTGTCTTTATCATATCTCAAGCCTATGTCATATTGTCTTCACCTTTTCCTAAATTACTGTGATCAGAATATCACCAATAATCCATGTGTGTGTTTGAATAAATGCAGTTAATGCCTTCTAAGAATTGGAAAAAAATATGCAAAACCTGAACAGCTCCTTCCTAAACTGGAAATGTCTGTGGACACTTACGTGCAGATAGCATTTCTCTTACCTCTTTAAAGTGGTTTTTGAAAGACTTAACAAGTAGCAATAAAACAAGTTGGACTAGATTTGATCTCTACATAGTGTGATCAACTGTCCCAGTTTACTCAGGACTGAAGGGTTTCCAAGGACACGACACTCAATACCAAAACTGAGCAAGTTCCAGGTAAAACAGGGAGAGTTTGTTACTCTTCCTCTTAAGTTCCCTTTCATCTTTAATATTTTATTTGTTTGTTTTGTTTTTGAGAAGAAATTTTACTCTGCCGCCAGGCTGGAGTACACTGTCGCAATCTCGGCTCATTGCAACCTCCACTTCCCAGGTTCAAGTGATTCTCCTGCCTCAGTCCCTCAGCTGGGACTACAGGTGCCTGCCACCATGCCCAGGTAATAATTTTTGTATTTTTAGTAGAGATGGAGTTTCACCATGTTGGCCAAAATTGTTTCCATCTCTTGACCTCATTATCTGCTTGCCTTGGCTTCCCAAAGTGCTGGGATTATAGGTGTGAGCCACTGTACCCGGCCCACCTTTAATATTTTTAAAATCATAAATATAGCTGTGATCACTGCTTTTTAATCAATAAAACAACAATTTATGTACAGAACCATAGAGTCTACTAGTTTTCCTATGTCCACATTTAAACATTCTCTTAGTGAGAGAGAAGAAAAGCACTAAACACAGGTAGCTTAGAAGTCATCTGAAGTTTGGCTTCCAAGGAAGAAAGAAAGCATATGCAAAAACCCAAAGTATCTCAAAAGAGAGACTTACCCTCCTTAATTTTTCCTCCTACCCCACTTTTATTTGGAATGCATGTCTCTTCCTCAACTCTGTTCCACCTATCTCCCTGCGAACAAAAGCTTAACACAAACCAGATGACTGTGTCTAAAAATTCTGTCTTCAACAAAAACCTACTCTCCTTCTAGTAGGCCTAAAAATCCAGAAAATGATAAGTACATGCATTGGTCTGTTGTTTCAGGCAATCTCAGATGCAGATTTGCTTTCCATGACGTCAAAAGGTCTGTCTTCATTCCCTTCAATTAACTCTGACTTTAAACCTTCCATGGACAACTTCAGTTATCTGAAGGTATGTCACAGTATTGTCTGACAGTGATGATACCAATTTATATGTAAAATATAGTAATACAACATTTCTGAGGATGATAATATCACCAAAAATGCATGAAGTATCCCAAAATTAGCCCTGTGTTCATTCCTTTATTCCTTTTACTGAGTATACCCAAAGCACTGACAATAGTTATCTATCATTTACCATGTTTTAAAACCTATCAAATCTAATATTTTTCTTCAGTATTTTCCCCACCCAACTTTCTTAATTAATGTCATCTCCTTTAACTATTTCCTATTGCAAAGTATATCCCAGTGTTCCATGTAATTGATATAATTTTGTACATTGACAACCTCCACACCATAATTTTAATTAGAATCCCTTCATAATTTAGAGTTTGCCACACCAACATTTAGATAATTATACATCTAGGTAATAATACATCTAGATAATTTTACTTCAAATTCAGAAGTAAAAAAAAGTCATCAGGATATACTTCTATCCATACTTTCACTGTCATTTTAAAAATTCAGTTAAACAAAATAAAGGTCAATTTTATACATTTTCAAAAAATCATTTTTATATATCTCTATTTTTTATCACAATGCACTGAATTCTGAAAAAAATCACTTTTATTAATAATTTAACCATGTTTTCATTCATTCTTTCAGTAACTATTTATTGAGTACCCACACTGTATCAGATACTGTGTTTAGGCAACAGAGACTATGGCATAACAATAAGAATTTAAGGTAAAATGTCGTATGTTAGAAAAATGATGGTATCTTATGATCTTCATGTCACAATAAACTGGGAATATCTAGCTAAGGGAAATTAACAATGTCCTATAGATGTGTCCTGGCTAAGTCTTCCAACCAAGTGGGCCTGAATTCTCTATCTGTGAATAAAAGTACTTCCAGCCATAAGATATGCTCCAAATACCCTGAATCTATAAACAGGTGGCCATATAATGCTTTTTTTTTTTCTTAGATGGAGTTTTGCTCTTGTTTCCCAGACTGGAATGCAAGCATGTCTCAGCTCACTGCAACCTCTCTGCCTCCTGGGTTCAAGTGATTCTCTTGCCAAAGCCTTCCGAGTAGCTGGGTACAGGTACCCACCATCATGCCCAGCTAAATTTTGTATTTTTAGTAGAGAAGAGGTTTCACTATGTTTGCCAGGCTGGCCTTGAACTTCTGATCTCAGGTGATCCTCCCACCTCAGCCTCCTAAAGTGCTGGGATTACAGGTGTGAGCCACTGTGCCTGGCCAATATTTCATCAACTAAACTAGCATGAAAAAGAGTACCCTTAGTGATTACTCTAAAATAACAGGCCTAATTCGGGAATGTCCTAGGGTAGTAGGGAAGGGGGACACACACACACACACACACACACACACACACACACACACACACACACACAAATATACATAAGGATGAAGGATGATGCCACTAACACAGAATTGACACCCTTCAACAGCTCTAGAATTCTCTTCTATGAATACTAGCACCACCACTGATTGACAAAGATATTAACATCAGATTAAGGACTCTTAGAGTTATTATGTTCTTGTATTCCAAATTTGCTAGGACAGTTCTATTACCAATAGCTTATCCCTTTATCCCCATAAATACATGTATAATTTAAAATATTATGTATCCAAATTTCAGATTTGGAGAATATAGCCATGATAAAAATAGTATCCCCTCAGTACACGAATAGGGTGATGAGGTTTTAAAATTCAGTTTCAAAGAGCAAAAGATCAATGCAACCTGGATAGTTTCTGTCACTAGAGGGCAGAAGCCATTCATGTGATGAAGTAAAGAATAATTCAAGCATTTTCTATAAGTGGTTTTGGGGATTTTTTAATCTTTTAAAAAGGTAATCAAGTAACAGAATAGGATACTTGCTATACCTCTATCTAAACTAAACTTCAATTAAATCTTATTTTTAGCTTAAACCTAGATACAAAATTGCAACCAAATTTTGGGGAAAAAATTTAATTAGACATTAAAAAATATTAAGCTAAACATTTTAGAAAATATAAAAGTCATATTCAGTTTACTTACAATTGACATTAGAGTCAGTATATAGTTTTGCAAATTCTTTTCATGAGCAGAAACCACTTTAGCATCAGCTGTAACCATAATTTCAACGTATCTTGGATGTGATATAAGACGTTTTTTCCTGGAATGTAATTGACTTCTTTTATTTTTCAATGGTACGTTTTTTGATGAGTGTCCTAAAACTCTTTCTTTCAATATATTAAGGTCTTCATTCATGTTGCTGTAGGTATGAAAGGGTAAACTGGTTTCCTTTATTTGACTTTCTATGGAGAAAAAAATAATATAATGCAGAGTCATTAAATTGGATGTGACTAAAAATATTGCAAAAAATAGAACAGCCAAAAATATTTAATACTTACATATCTGTTCCCAATGCGAAAATAAAAGGACAAAGAAAATTATTATTTAAAATAGTATTGTACAGCATTATCATGAACATTCCTATTTATAGTAATACAAAGTTTGCAAAAGTTCACATTTTCATAGATTTTACCAACAAGAAACTATATGTAAGTTATATTTGAAAAGATATGACTATTCAAAAGCATTTATTAACTACCAAGTAGAAAATTAAAATATCAAAGACTCCTTATATTTTTCTCAGTATGTAAATTGAATTTTCAAGTCTACAATGACGTGCCGCAATGCCCAGCTAATTTTTGTATTTTTAGCAGAGACAGGTTTCACCATGTTGGCCAGGCTGGTCTCAAACTCTTGACCATGTGATCCGCCCACCTCAGCCTCCCAAAGTGCTGGGATTACAGGCGTGAGCCACCACACCCACCCTTTTTTTTTTCTTTTTTCTTTTCTTTTTTTTTTTTTTTTTTCTTTTTACAGAGTAGTAACATTTATAGATTACTAACATTTTGTAGGGTGAAACTTTATAAAATATAGAACAAAACAAACTTTACACTATGTGTGAAAAGCACCAAGAACAACAGAAAATTAAGCCAACTAACAATAGGTGGGTGAACCTATTGAATCCAGAAAGGCAAATGTTGCTATAAATTTTTTAATACTTGATTAGTAAAATACCTGATTTGTTATATTTGGTTGCGTAACAATACTGCATAAAAATAATTGAACATTAAAGATTATTACAGTTAAGTAATATGCATTTAAGTCCTATGCACTTACAGAAACTTATACATTTATTTCTATGCATTTAAACCTTAATTGTGCTAGCGGTAAAAAAAATCATAGGCTGCACAGGTGCTTGTCCTATATCTCTCCCCTTCATTTTGTTCCTCTATTTTCCTCCTTACTTCTTCCTCTTTTTCTCAGCTAACTTTTCTGCCAATTGTTTGGTGGTGGTTTTTTCAATAGAAAAGTGGACCAGAGGAGTCACGTGAGAAGAAATAAAGGTCCTAGATACTTTACAAACCAAATAATACCAAAATAATAACTAATACTCGGTTGCATTATAGGAATTAGAGATAAGAATATACTTCATTATTATAAAAATTCATTTTAAGTACAAATATAATCCTATGGCCATAAGAAAGAAATGGAGCTCTTTAGACATTAAGTTTCCATAGATGAATTTTTTAAATTAATATAAAAAATTTTATTTGTCTTATTCTTTTTTTCCTTTTAACTTTTAGGTTCAGGGGAACATGTGCAGGTTTGTTCTGTAGGTAAACTCATGTCATGGGAGTTTGGTGCACAGATTATTTCATTACCCAGGTACTAGGCATTCTATCCAATAGTTGTTTTTTCTGATTCTCTCCCTCCTTCTACCCTCCACCCTCACATAGGCCTGAGTGTCTTTCACTTGTGTTTATGTATTTCTGTTATTTAGCTCCCACTTACCAGTGAGAACATGCAGTATTTGGTTTTCTGTTCCTGCATTAGTTTGCTAAGGATAATGGTCTCTAGCTCCATCCATGCTGTTGAAAGAACATGATTTTATTCTTTTTATTACTACATAATATTCCATGGTATACATGTACCATTATTTTCTTTAACTAGTCTGCCACTGATGGGCATTTAGGTTGGTTCCATGTCTTTGTTACTGTAAATAGTGCTGCAGTGAACACACGCGTGCATATGTCTTTATAGAACAATTTATATTCTTTTGGGTATATGCCCAATAATGGGATTGCTAGGATGAATGTTAATTCTATTTTTAGTTCTTTGAGGAATTGCCACACTGCTTTCCACAATGGCTGAGCCTAATTTACACTCCCACCAGCAGTGTATAAGCATTCCCCTTTCTCTACAACCTTATCAGCATCTATCTTTTATTTATTTTCTAGTAATAGCTATTCTGACTGGTGTGAGATGGTATCTCATCATGGTTCTGATGTGCATAACTCTAATGATTAGTAATGTTGGGCATTTCCTCATATGTTTGTTGGCTACATGTATGTCTTCTTTTGAAAAGGGTATATGAACTTCTGTTTCTAATTTCTAAAAGCATCTAGCTTTTAATATTGATATGTTCCTAGGTTTTAAACTTTATCTCAGTGGGAAATTCTGGAAATTTGACAAATTGGGCAGTCCTAAAACTTTTTCCTGCCATTTTTCTCCCAAAGTGACTTGGCCACTAAAATATTCATGACCGATTACTGAACCCTAAAGGAGATCTCAGATATGTCTGATATGTAGACATCTTAATTAAGGTAAAGATAAATATTTATGCTTTGATTTATTTGTCAATTAAAAAAATATTTTCTGTATGCATAATCTATCTCAGGAAACATTTAGATATTGAGGAGCAAATAATATCTCATAAAGCTTACACTCTAAGAGGCAAAAAAATAAATTAAAACATAGTAAAGATACAATTTCAGGTATCTTTAGGGATTTCATAACAATCTAACCAAAAGACAAAATAAATATAATTCTACCTACCAGAATGGGTAAAATTATAAAGAGCAATAATACGCAGTGGTACGATCACTTTGAAAACCTAACTTGCAAATTCTAAATTAGACATGCATCTATCCTATGACACTGGAATTCCACTCCTAAGAAAACATATTCACAGTAAAACCAGTATCAGTTCATAGCAAAACAAATACATAGACTGATGAACTACAATAGAGACCCCAGATAAAAACCCTTGTGTATATGATCAAATGATTTTTGACAAGAGTGCCAAGACCACTCAATATACAAAGACTTAACTCAAAATGAGTTACAAATCTAAAGACCCCCAAATAGTAAAACCCCTAGAAGAAAACATAGAGAAAGTGTTTTATACCATTGGACTTGGCAGCCATTTCTTGGATACAGCATCAAAAGCACAGGAAACGAAAGCAAAAATAGACAAATGGGACTACACCCAACTTAAAAACTTATTGTTCAAAGGACACAATCAACAAAGCAAAAAAGCAAACTATGGATTAGGAGAAAATATTTACAAACTATATATCTGATAAGGAGTTAATATCTAGAATATTAAAAAAATCCCTACAATTCAACAACAGAAAAACAAATAAACTGATTAAAAATGAATAAAGATTTGCATAAACATTTTCCCAAATACGTTATACAAATTATAAACACACATGTGAAAAGATGCTCAGAACAATTAATCATTTTAAAAATGCAAATAAAAACAACAATATCACTTCACACTCTTAAGAATGGCTGCTATTACACACACACACACACACACACACACACACACACACACACAGAAACAGAGAGAGAATAACAAATGTTGACAAGTATGTGGAGAAATTGGAAACCTTATGTACTGTTGGTAGGGTTGTAAAATTTTATAACCACTATGGAAAACAATATGGACACTCCTTAAGAAATTAAAAATAGAACTACCATATGATCCAGCAATCCTATTGGGGTAAATATCCAAAAGACATGAAAGCAGGGTCTTGAAGAGCTGTTTGTACACCAATGTACATTGCAGTATTATTTACAATAGCTAAGAAGTAGAAGCAACCCAAATATCTATTGACAAAGGAATGAATAAACAAAATGTGGTATACACACACAGTGAAATATTATTCAGTATGAAAAAGGAAGGAAGGCAGGTGTGGTGGCATACACCTGTAGTTCCAGCCACTCTGGAGGCTGAGGTGGTAGGATCACTTGAGCCTCCAAGTTTGAGGATTAGGTAAAAATGAGATTCTGCCTCTAAAATAAACAAACAAAAGCTTACCCCTAAAACAAACAAAAGCAAAAAAGGGAAGGACATGCCGTCACATATGACAACATGAATGAATCTGGAAGTCATTATGCTAAGTGAAACAAGCCAGTTTTTTAAAAAACTTGTATAATGTTACCTAAATGAGATACTTAAAGTAGTAAAATTCATTGAAACAAAAAGTAGATTGGTAGTTACTAAGGGACAGAGAAAGGGCAAAATGGGGAGTTGTGAATGGATATAGTTTCAATTAGCAAGAAAGCCCTGGAGGTCTGTTAAGTAACAGTGTGAATATACTTAACACTACCAAATTGTATTCATAAAAAGGGTTAAGGTGGCAAATTTTATGTTACCTTTTTTTAACCACAATTTAAGAATGTTTATAGCATTTTCATTCATAATTCCCAAACCTAAAAACAACCCAAATGTCTGTCCACAGGAAAAAACTAAAAGAGACAAGAACTAAGCTTTACAGAGTAGAACAGTGGCTGTCAGAAGCTGAAGAGTGAGGGAACTAAGGAAATGCTGTTCAACATACAAAGTTTTAGTTATAGAATGAATAACTTCTGGGAATCGAATGTACAGCATAGTAACTATAATTAATAATACTGTCTTATTTAATTGAAATTTGCTAAAAGGATAGCTTTTGTGTGTTGGTACCACACACATACAAATTGGTTTCTGTGAGGTGATGGATGTGTTAATTAATTTGATTATGGTAATCACTTCACATGTATACATGTATCAATCATCATGAATGTATACCTTGAATACATACAGTTTTTATCAATTAATTATAAATTAGTAAAGCTGAGGTGGGGGTAGTGTGAATGAACAAAGCTTTGGCAAGAGATGCTTTCCTTATCCATATGTAGCTCCTGTTCTGGGAAAGTCTGACTACTTTCCAAATTGCAAATCGTATCCAGTGCTAGCTGATGTAACAGTGCTGGATACGATTTGCAATGTGGGATTACAGGCAACCCTCACCTAAGAAGAGAAAAGCCTTCTCTACACTCCTCAAAAAAAAGTGTCCCTCTTGTCAAGTAATTTACCACTTGTCTCTAGCAGAAAACCAAATCCCATCTTATCTTCTACTGCCTGTTAAAATCTCACTGCCTGAATAATCACCCAAAGTCTGTCTAGTCTGAG